GGTTGACACTTTAAATTTGCCTGAGTTCTGCCCTACTTTCTGGAGTCCAAGCAGAACTAAAGCATTTCAAAACTGAGGACTAATTATATGTAAAGAGTTGTATTGACCTGTGTTCAATAAGCTTACTGAGTATTTTAGATACCATTGATTGCTATTTCTAGCCAGCCATTCTTGGTATTTCTAAATAGGTTTAACAAAAAGATCCTTACATACATAATACCAGTAGGTGCCATTCTCACTGCTGTCAAAAGTGTAGCAGATTTACAATGCCATCAACAGTCTCATTAAAATGATCAAAGACCTAGGCAAGACTGCATTGATTGCCCGATAGTCATATGTTAATTCTACACCATACCTGTTGTTTGATCTATTTCAGTTAAATCCTTTTACAATTGACAATATTATTGATATACAAAATCCCAAGAAATAATAGAAATAATAATTTCTGACTGGTTGCATATTGGCATCAGTAAAAAAAAAAACCAATGCTGTTCACAACAGATTTGATATAAAAAGGCATTAATGTTAAAGTCATAAATGACACCTAATGAATAATGCAATGATGCAGAAACTGACCAAAAAGAATACCTTTAGAAAATACAATCAGATGCAAATGAACCTGTAATGTCAAGTGTTACACTGTATGTAAAAGTATCTAAAGTTACAATAAAAAAAAATTTAAAAAAGTGAGAAATTTAAAAAGGAAATGTTTCCTGTTGAAATTCTGCCTTTATTTTCAGAAAAACCCATGCCCTTACATTTTTTACATTACAAAGACTCACAGTAAGCACATGGTGTATTGACTAAGTGCCTCCTGAAAATAAAAGGTCTGTATATAAACATGTGATGAGAAGGCAAAACATATCAATGCACCACAGTAAAACAACTCTACAGGCTTGCTTCTCTTTTTTTTGTAAGAAAAAAAAAATTATGGGGAGGTGAGATTGGTGAGGGTTGCAATGGTACAGATTATACTCCCTTAAACCTGAACTTTTTTCACTTGAATGTCAGCAAACCTATTATGGTCTGAAATTCTTAACCAGTCTCCAAGCTGCCTTCAGAACCATTAAATTCATATGTTTCTTTAGTTGCATGACTTGCTCTGATAACTGCATCACCGGAATACACGAAGCAAAATTCACAACTGTAGCAACTTTGTCAGAAACTGCAGCCCCAATATGATCCTGGAACTTTGACAACTCGAGTCTCAATAAATCCACTGATGAGCATGCAGTGAGTTCATTTGCAATGCTTTCCATGAATATGCTTTCTAAGTCATCCATGGTGATGCCTGTGATTCATCATCATTGTTGGTTGATGGGATAGGAAGGATTCCTCACTACTATCATCAGCTTAGGATGTTTGAAACATCTACTTGTGCACATGCTTTTTAGAAGTTGTTACAGCCAACATTTGGTTTTGAAGTGACATATTACTAAAAAAGTTTTGTACAATATCAACCTATTTGCAGTACACAAGTTAGTTGTCTTGTCTATAATCGACCATGTTTGTGTCATGTGAATAGCGACATCACTTGAGTCAAAGAGGGTGATATGAGCCATAATGATCGAAAAGACTGTTCTTCAGTCACATGAGCTCCAATAACATGCTCAACCTCAAGGTTACAATGAACTATATCAAATACTAGATAAAGCAACATCAGGTTTAATACAAGAACAAAACCCTTTTTTCAGCTCTCATGACATCACACAAGGAAAAGAAAGCTTCAGCATGAGCTCCATCCAACATGTTAAACCATAACCATGCTTAATATCATTGCATGGAACACTTTGTTCATCTCTCATGACAACACTCTAGGCAAAGAGGCATTCAGCCTGATCTCCAACAATATGCTCAATATTGACATCATGAATAATATCAAAACTAGATATAGTTGCACTGGGTTTCCTGTAAGAATGAAACCCTTTTGTTCATTGGTATCCATGTGTAATTGGACATAGTTTCTTGCAAAATCAAAGTATAGCAAAAAGGCTTAATTTAATTTTACAGGCAGTGCATCATCTGTCATAATGGATGCAGTACTGATTAGTGCATTAAAAATTGCAATAAGGGATCACTGTCAACTTGGTGCAATACAAAGTAAACTATTAATCCAAGTCCAGTTGCAGCCCTTTATTTGTATCTTGAAGAATGTAAAGAAAAACCCTGAACTAGTAAGACAAAACTACAAAAATTTCATTAGTAGCTAAAAACACAAAAAGTGACCATCACTTTTGACTTGCATAATGACCAGTAAAGTGACCTATTCATCATCTCATGTGGTCCCTTAGCCAAGTTAGGGTACAGAAGATTAAATGAAATTCAGGTATAATCAGGCCCTTAAGCTTCACAGTGTTCTGGGGATATTAGACACAATGTGATCCACAAATTTCAGATAGACCCCAATAAGTGCCTGTGATGTAGAGGATAATGTACTACAATTTCATCTGCAGATAACAATGAACTACACTCAGCAAGACAATGCACCAGCCAGAAATAGTAGTAAGTGTGCATGTTTTTGCTGCTCACCATTTCTGGCCTTAACTTTCATAGAAATCTTGGACATTTTTTTTCTTTCCCCATATGAGAAATGAGAAAACTAAATGGTAAGTTGATGAATTTAGGAACCCTAAAGAAAGTTCTAGAATACTTCATGTTTTAGTAACTGGTGTTCCCTCAATAAATGTACTAAGGATGATTCTAGGCCCCAAAGACTCATAGGGTGAAAAAAAGTCCTACCATTACAGAAGAATGCTGACAGGGACCTTTTAATTTATCTCCTGCAATATATTAAATTTAAATTCTAAATAAAGTGGCCTGCTGAAAGCTTACAGCCCAGAAATATAAGCATTTCTCCATGATTATATAGTATTCTCACACCAGCCCACTTGTTTTACCCCACTACCAATTTAATAAACATAAGGCATTAATGATATAAGTAAGAAATGTACAAAACTTAGTCATTTCAGTCATTGATTTATAAGGTCTAACCTAATTGTCACCTGGTGGTCCCAAATACTGACAACTTGTTGGCATTCCAGATCAAAACTTAATTTATTTAGCAACATGACTGCCATATTTGCTTTGAACAGTCTATGTTTTCAATGGATGTGATGTAGTTCACCTTCTTTGAAAATCTTCCATAAATTGAGATTTACATTTCTTTGAACATACATACACATGTGTTCCTCCAATTTATTTTGTTCAATTTGTTTTCAAATATTAAAACTAGACATTGCAAATACTGGATGCAAACAACACATTTTTTTTATAACTTAAATAAGATGTTCTAGACACCAGAAATGGACAGCAAGCAATCTGTTTCTTTGTTCCTGGAGCTTCTGTTTGCACTGAGACAAATAATTTTGACCATGTTAGGGACCCCATGGCAACAATCAGGTTAGAAATTATAAATCAATGAATAAAATGACTTAAGCTTTGCACATTTATTATATCCTTGATGAAATTTGCTTTTAAAATAGGTATGGAGATTACAAAAAAAAAATAGTATGTGAATACTATAATACCAACAAAATTGCATCCAAACTCTAAAACATTTGACTACAGTAACTTGTGTGTAAATTGATGATAAGTATATCATAAAATGTATAAAATCATTCTGAATTTGGTGGTGCTTTTGCTACTAAAAAATAAACATCTGAATTTTGAAATTATACTGCATGTTTTTGTGTGCTTAGACCTAGCAGAGCTGTAATTATTCACTGAAATTTATGCAATAATTTCAATGATAGAATACTGTACTAATATCCAACCTACCTACTGCCAAAATATCCCATGTCATACAGTATTTTATTGACAATGGACTGTTGTAACAGCACTTGACTGTGATGAGCACTGTTATTATACATGCATGAAAATCAAAGTACTTGGTCAGGTTCTTCTTTTGTGTATTATCATACATCTGCTAGGCACTATGAACAGGTTCCCTTGTGTTTCCCCCAGAGGTGAATTTTTGAGTAAAAAATCTTCTTGGTGTCATTGTGAATGAAAAACAAACCTTGGTGTCTGACCTGAGATCAAATTAAAAATCGGGGGGGGGGGGTCTGATGCAAAAATGTGGGTACTGGGAAACACTAGGTTCCAATACTTGGCAAAAGAAACCAGAAGTCTGTGACAAAACACCTGAATAATCTCTATTCTGACAGTTATATACAATAATAAATGATTCACATTTTGAACACATATTTTTTGGTACAAATTCTATTATCAAATTATCATTTGTCAATTTAATATCACAATAAAAAAGTAACTTCTGATCCCATCATGATCTGCTATGACTAAAATGACAGTCAAAATCTTAAAGGTAAACCCTAAAGTATAATTACACATTTTTGTGAAGCTAAGTCCATAAGACTAAACTGTTAAATACAATTGACAATAACATGAATCTTAAAGCCTCTTATACCTATTTCAAGATGCATTGTAAACTTTCCATGTCTAACAGGGCCATAAAAATGTCAAACATTTTCCCAAATTATGTGAAAATGAAACCTGGCCTTTGTCTTGTTGATACACAAAATTTACATTTAATTCATTCATTGCCTCCAAAATGGATATGGGCTGTGTAATGCAAGGATAACTTTGCAAGCTAAAACTAAAGCTGTAATTCAGTTAAATATTCATGGTAACAAATAGAAATAAACTTGAGCATGGTCCTTGGAATGTAACTATGGAAACAATCTGATTGCAATCAATTATGTCGAATTAAAGTTTTCAAGAGGAAACAATACTCTTGATGCATAGGCAAATGTCCGTCAATCAAACAAGGGTGATAATACTGTCTTTAAAAAAAAATCAAAATTATATAAGACCATTGTATCATCAACATTGCACTGCATACAAGTTTGATTTTGAAGTCCACAAAAGTTGCTGAATAGAAATTAGTTGTACAAGTGCTATAACTGTTTAAATGGGTAAAAACACCACCTTAATTCTGACCTTTTTTATATACAGACCCACAGCAAATTTGGTGTTATTTCGACTGCTCCAGTGGCCTAAGTGGTTAAAGCATCCACCTCAGAAGCAAAAGGTCATGGGTTTGAACCCCTGCTGAGTCATAATCATGACTTTTTTAAAAACAGTACTAAAAGAAGCCTTGCTAGGCACTCAGAATTAAGAGGTCAGTGTTAGGACTGATCAGCCTGGTGTCATGATAATGTGTCATGCTAAATGTCTGTGGCATGATGCACCAGTGCCAGACATCACTATAAACTGCCACACTGCAGACATCATAGGAATATGAATGACAAATTTGATAAACCCTATGTTAAAAATCCAAATTACACACACACTCATAATACAATATTCTTGTATTTATCACTTCATAAATTAACAAAAACAACATTGATAACCACATAACCATCGACAGTGCTTCTATGCCTGACCTGCAACCCATCCATAGAATAAGTGAAGGGTATAAAGAGAACATTTACAGTGACAAAAAATTCAAGTATTTGACATTTAATTAATACTCTGGGTAACAGTAATTTCTACCTGTGTACCTTTATATAGTATTATATATGCATTTACTATTCATGTTGCAATTCATATTGGAAGATATTTTTATCTACTGGTACTGATCAATGCTAATGAGTTCCTTTGGGGAAATTCATGATGAGGTCTTTATATATCAATGATTTCTTGGCTTCAATAACTATCAGTAGATATTAACAACTCATAACTGACTTCTGCTGATCTAAGGTACAAATTTATTACTGCTATCATCACTACCACTGGTAAACAAATGCTGGCATGCAGCCAAATCAGTAGACTATAAAAAAACAATTAGATTCCTAATTTGCATGGAATTCTGTCTCATCCCATAGTGGCCACACAAGCACATGACAAGTTCTCTATGTTGGTGAACTGGCATGTAACCAGGCTTACATCACAACTGGCCATAGAATCTGTTCCAAAATTAGTCTATCTTTAGTACCAAACTTCCTTATACTGGCCATTCTGGCCTATATATGTCTGACATGGAAGGATAAAAGGTTGCAAATGGTTTGTCACATAGTCTACTTGGTGTTTTGGTAGATAATCTATCATGGACTGAACATATCAAACAGATAAGTAAAAAAGTTAATTCAAGTTTATGGCTTCTCAGTAGGATAAGACACTTTCTCCAGGAAAAGCACAGAAAACTATTTTATAACAGTTACATACAACCCTATTTAGACTAGTGTAATACAGTATGGGGTAATTCAAATGATAAAAACTTAGCAAAGCTGGCAAAGAGCTTTTGAGTTAATATCAATCCAGAAAGAAAGCAAGGAAAATTTAGCTGGCAAGTTAAAAATATTACCTATAAAAGACTGAATCTGTTTAAGAAAAGCAAAATTAATGTACAGGATATCCAATAATAGTGCTCCTGAATATTTACAATCACTATTCAAGTATAGGATACCTGGAAATACTCCCCACCTGCAATCAATGTCTACCAAACAAAACAAAATTCTCGAACCAAATAAGGAAATATTTTTTAAAAAGTTTCCAATACTCTGGAACTTTGCTCTGGAATAGTATTCCAGTTTAGATTAGAAATGCCCACTCTATTTCCTTTTTCCAAACCCAGTATATATAGTGGCTTCAGAGATGCAGCAAAAATAAGTATTTTCCTTTGAATGAGGGACTCGAGGTAGATTAGTTCTTAGCTAATTGAGTTACCCTCTTTAAATAAAGTCATAATAAGGAAAAAAAATAATAATAACCTCTATAGAACTGGAGCCATCATGAAGTATCAGTCTGAAGACAATAATTATGACTTATTGGTCTTAAAATAATAGAACACAGCGAGGAGCATCAAGTTTCGTAAAATTCAACAAATAATTTATTTTCTCAAAGTGAAAGAACTTATATTATTGTGAATTAAATCCCAAAAAACCTAGAATTACCACCACAAGTCTTAGTAAATACAATTTTGAATAAGCTTTCATGGTATTTCAAATAATTTTCAGCACAGAAGTGTGTCTGTAGTAGCTGGTAGTCTGCCTCTGCTCTACTGGTTTGACACCAGCTTTTTTAATTAGGAAGTTCACAATGACTTCCAGCTTTTGAAAACTAGTGACCCTTCTTACTGATGGAAGGTCCAGCTCATGTACAGATCTAGTTACTGAATAAAATGAGTACTCTATAAAATAAAATAAAACACATACGTGGTTGTTATTATATTTCAATTTACATTAAATTCATCAACATTTCATACACTTAGTTTTGTAATGCTGACAAATCTTGTTTGAGGTACTTAGTATCATCATCACGATCACCATCATTATCAGCAGCATCAGCAGCATCTTCAGTTCTCATTACAATGTTCTTTTTCATCCATATCTCTCTGGCACAAGGATTGCATGACTTTAAACCTAAGAAGAAATACTAAATATCTGAATTAACAAAATTAAATAAGCAGGAATGAATCTAAAGTTAAGTTGGTGGTTTAAGTTTTTACAATATTATAAAAAGAATGGATCTAACTGTAAATTTCTGGTTGAATAGTTTAAATTTCTGCTTAATAGTTTAAAATCAATAGCATAAACTGAAAGTTAATAACTGCGTTGGCTTTTGAAAGAACATATACAATTTCTGCCTCTTTGACGTATCAGTGGAGATATCACTGGATGGAGGAATTGATATGGTCCTTTTCTGACTCCTTGAGTATCGGCAATAGCCCTGATAAATTTCTCACAAAACTGCCTATTTCCAAACCTTGTCCAACCCACATAATTTCACATAGTATATGGCTGTTATTTCTAAACATGACATGAAGTTTTTCAACTGGTACTTTACTTAGCAACTAACACAGACTTCTCACCTTCAGAAGTGTCAGGAGCTGCCTTCACATCTATCTCTCTTAAGTGATTCCTTTTGTGGTTCTCCGATGAGTAATGGGATCTATTGTTGTGGGACTTTATGCCATTTTTCAGCACATAATAGGCTACACATGGCAGCCTGTATTAATGGTGGAGGAAGAAACTGAGAAATCCGTGGAAAGAACCACCGACAGCAAGCTTTCTCACATATCCACATTCGCCGAATCTTAGACTTGAACCCACACAGACTAAGATGAGATGGCAGTTATTCATAATGGAGAGTGCTTTAGACCACTCGGGCCACTTCATCCTTTCATCACTGCGGAACGCAAAACCCGTCATGGGGGAAGTAAGTCCGTAAACACTATGGACCAACTTTTCGGTCTGGGGCAGTGTTCTTCTTTAACATTATAGTACCCGACTAAATAACTTTTGGGATACCTCTAATAATTTCCTTCTTGTAATGTAGATGTTATATTTGGATGATCTTGTTAGTTTAGCTTGTACACAACTAGAAATAACGAACAAAGTAGGAACTTTTAACATGTTTTCCGAATGTTGAAATTTGTATCCAAAATGGCGGCGTTTTAACCCTTTCATCACGGCAGACCGCATATGCGGTCAGGGGAAACAAATCCGTCAACACTATGGACCGAGTTTTCGGTCTAGGGCAGTGTTCTTCTTTAACATTATAGTACCCAACTAAATATCTTTCCGGGTACCTCTAATAACTTCCATCTGGTAATGTAGATGTTATATTTGGATTATCTCGTGAGTTTAGCTTGTATACAACTAGAAATAACGAACAAAGTAGGAACTTTTAACATGTTTTCCAAATGCTGAAAATTGTATCCAAAATGGCGGCGTTTTGAAGGAGTTTTAGAGGAGAGTTTTCGGAGGATTTAAATAATTTTGACCTGATAAATTTGTTTGACAATGAGAGAAGACGTATGGAGAGACAATGGAATGCACTTGTGGGTGACAGTGATGAAGATGAAGATGACTTTGAAGGTTTTGAACCAGAGAAATTGTACGCTCCACATGGTTTGTTTTTTTTGGACGAAGCCCGAAAACCAAAGAAATTTGTTTCAGTTTTCTGACAGAGTTGGTAACACCCGAGAGTTATATGGCTCCAGGAAAGCTTCGGAATATTTTTCAAATATTCTATTCAGATGAAGTTTTTGGAAAAATTGTCCATTTTACGAACTTCAATGTGACGATCAAACGTGGCAGAGGCGATATAGGTCACTTAGGTGTGTGGACAGATCTCACCTTGGAGATCATTTTGGTTCATTTTATAGAATTTTATATATAATGGACATCATGAAAGAAAGACTTGTGTTGCTACTGTGAATATTTCTAGTTCATCTAGGGTCAATTGAACAAGTTTTGAGAACTTTCCAAGTTTTCTAAGAAGTAATAAAATAATTACTTGTATTTTACCTGTTGTGTTACCTGTTTGTATTGCAGTTTAACAGTTGTAATAGATATGCACATTTTATTGAATTAGTCATAAAATTTGATTTTTTAACCTTGGTTTTGACACCTAATCCAGCCAGAAATCATCCAAATATAACATCTACATTACAAGATGGAAGTTATTAGAGGTACCCCTAAAAGTTATTTAGTTGGGTACTATAACATTCAAGAAGAACAGTGTTTAGGACTTACTTCCTCTGGACTTACTTCCTCTGAACCGGTTTACCATTTTGCAGTTTGCAGTGTTGAAAGGGTTACACATCAATAAGCAAATAGTAATTTGCTTCAAAAAAATGTGATCAATGAACCGTATTTATATATTTTCTTTATAAAATCAGTTTGAAACAGTAAATGAACTTGTAATGGTGGACACTGCTGAGTATATGATATACTGCTTCATTAAACCTCATGTATTTGTAAATAATTGAGCAAAGAGATTCAAAACAATATATAATATAAATAAAACAAAGTTTAAATATTATGTGATGGGAGATTTAGCCTAAATATGTAATAATGTCAGAAACATGTGTCAATCTTTGTTGTGGAATTCAAAACAATGCTGCAAGGTCAAAGTTGTTTTCTGACATACTATAATTGATTTCGGTGAAAATACAAAAGATATATATATATATATATATATATATATATATATATATATATATATATATATATATATATATATATATATATATATATATATATAGTAGTGAAGCAAATACTATTTAACCAATGAATATCATTATTACCAGTAGGTAGGCAAATAATACAAC